TTACCCTATCCCTCCTCACTCTTCTGCTTTACTTCTACTTGCTACCTTGCCTTCCTGTTATTACTTAACCTACCCCTCCAAGAGTCCCTTCCTTATCTTCTACACTAACCCTATTCCCTTGCCCTCTTATTTCTTTTTTAATTTAGAAGACTTTTATATCCTTCTAGATATGTATGTTGATTCCTCTTTAACCTATGCCCAATGAGAAGAAGGTGCTAGCCTTGTCTAATCTGCAGATAAAACTACAGTTTTATTTTTTTAGAATCACCCCATCATACTTACCTCAGCCTAAGTCTTTCTTTCAGACTACCCAAATGACAGTCATAAGAGTACTGATAATATTTTCACATATGAGAAGTAAACAATTTAACCTTATTGAGTCCTTTATCATTGGTCTTTAATGTTTGCCTGATATTTCTCCTGGATGTTATATATTGATTTTTCCTTTAAGTTCTACTGTTTTTGTCACAAATACCTGAAAGTCTTTCAGATCATTAAATGTCCTTTTTTTTTTTTATTCAGGATTATACTTAACTTTGCTATGTAAGTTACCCTTGGTCGTAATCCCAGCTCTTTTGCTCTACAGAATATAGTATTCCAAGACCTGTGATTCTTCAATGTAGTAGCAGCTTGGTCTTGTTTAATCATTATTGTAGCTCCATGATATTTAAATTGGTTTTTTTCTTGTTGCTTCCAATATTTTCTTCTTAACCTGGGAGCTTTGAAACTTAGCTATGATATTCCTGTAAGTATTCCTCCTGGGATCTCTTTCAGGTGGTGATCAATAAATTTTTTCTATTTCTGCTTTGCCTTCTTATTCTAGAACTTCAGGGCAATTTTCCTTCATAATTTCTTGTAATATTGTATGAAGATTTTTTGTTTATCATAATTTTCAGGTAGTCCTACTATTCTTGTATTATTTCTCCTTGATCTGTTCTCCAGATCAGTTGTTTTTCTGATGAGATGTCACATTCACTTATATTTTTTCATTCTTTTGATTTTGTTTTGTTATTTCTTGGTATCTTAGAATGTCATTAGCTTCATCTTTTTTCAAATTTTCAAGGAATTATTTTCTTCCTTAGGTTTTTGATTCTCTATTTCAAGTTGGTTGACTTTCTTTTCACAATTTTCTTAATTTTCTTGGATTGCTCTTGTTTTATTTTCTGATTTTTCCTTGATCTCTCTTATTTGATTTTTAAAGTCTTTTTTAAGTTCTTCCAAGAACTCTTTTTGTGCTTGGGACCATTTGATGTTTCTCATTGAAAAAGGCTTTTTTTCACTCCATTATCTTCTTTTGAAAATGAACCCATATCTTCTCTATCCCCATAGTAGCTATCTATGATTGGGTTCTTTCTCCTTTGCTTACTCATTTTTACCTTTTTGTTTGTTCGTTTTATTTTGTTTTTAGTAGCTATTAGTGTAATCAAGTTCTATTCTCCAGGTATAGGGAATGATGCCTCAAGCCCCAGGGCCTTGGGCTCTCTTCTGCACTCCAAAGCCATGACTAGGACCCCTAGCCATGCTGTCCTGCTTGTTTCCTGTGGTCCCTCTGGTGGCTGCAAACTACATCTGTCCTCTTTGCTCTGGAACTGAAACCAGGGGCTTTGCTCTCCTGCAAGTGCCCATAACCAGCAAGATCCCTGCCCCTCTGCTACTGCAGTTACCAGGTTTATGCTAGCTCCTTCACCCCACCGCTATAACCTGGGAAGTGTCTGGTTAGCACAGTTGTGTTTGGCATCCTCAACAGTGGAAGGTCCTTCAATATTCTCCAACTCAGCCATTAAACCCTCACAACTGTCCTTGAGATGAAAGTTTCTAAGGCTGAGATTGCCTCTCAACCCAGCTGCCCCTAAGGCTTAAGTTGGTTTGGAAGTATTTGCACTTCACTAAGGCCAATCCTCTACCCTGGAGGTCAAGTCTTTCCTGGGGTCTTCTCAGGTTGTCTTAAGAGGAAAACTGCTCTACTCCAACTTTTGTTTATTTCCTCTGCTCTCCATTCTGATGTTCTGTCTTTTTTTGTGGAGGAAAGTGGAGAACCAAAAATTTTCTGACCTACTCTGCCATCTTCCCAGAATTCTCTCTGATCTTCTTCTTCTTCTTCCTCTTCTTCTTCTTCTTCTTCTTCTTCTCCTCCTCCTCCTCCTCCTCCTCCTCCTCCTCCTCCTTCTTCTTTTCTCTCTCTCTCTCTCTCTCTCTCTCTCTCTGTTACAAGGAATAGGGAGGTTAGGAATGGAAGGTTATATTTGGATATGATGGTGGATATGATTCAGGTACTTAGAGAACCTGAAAAAATCAACTAAAAAACATTAGTGAAACACAACTTTAGCAAAGTTACAGAATATAAAATAAAGGCACATAAATCATCAGCATTTCTATATATTACTGACAAAACCCATCAGGAAGAGATAAATTCCATTTAAAATAACTGTGAGTAAAATTTAATATTTTTATTATAAAAATGAAATTTTAAATTAATATTTTACTATTTAAAATAAAAGTATCACAAAATCCTTTTCACACAAATACAGATCTAAACAATTAGAGAAATGTTAATTGCTCATGGGTAAGTGGAGCCTATATAATAAAAATGATAATATTCCCTAAATTAATTCACTTATTCAGTGCCAAACCAATCAAACTTCCAAAGAATTATTTTATAGAGCTAGGAAAAAATAACAACATTCTTCTGGAGGAGCAAAAAGCCAAGAATATCAAGAGAATCAATGAAAAAAAAAAGTTAAGGAAGCCAGCCTAGCAGTACCAGATCTCAAACTGTACTACAAAGAGGTAATCACCAAAAATATCTAGTACTAGATAAGAAATAGAGTTGTTGGTCAGTGGAATAGCGTAGGTACACAATATTCAGAAGTAAACAATCACAGTAACATAGTGTTTGATAAACTCAAAGATTCACTCTTTTAGGGTAAGAATTCCTTATTCGACAAAAACTACTGGGAAATCTGGAAAACAGTCTAGCAGAAACTAGGCATAGACCAACATCTCACACTAAATACTCAAAATAAGGTCAAAATAGCTATGTGAGTTAGAGATAAAGGGTGATATCATAAACAAATTAGGGGAACATAGAAAAAATTACCTGTCAGATGTATGGATAAGGGAAGAGTTCATGACCAAAGAAAAGATGGAGAGGATCACAGGAGGTAAAATGGATAATTTTCATTGCATAAAATTTAAAAGGTTTTTCACAAACAAAACCAATGTAGCCAAAATTAGAAACCAGGGGAAATTTTTCATAATAAGTTTCTAGTAAGGGTCCCATTTCTCAAATATATAGAGAACTGAGCCAAATTTATAAAAGCAATAGCCATTCTCCAAATAGTCAAAGGATATGAACAAGCAGTTTTCCAAAGAAGTCAGATCTATCAATAGCCATATGAAAAAATGCTCTAAATCACTAATAAGTAAAGAAATGCATATTAAAACAACTCTGTGATATCACCTTACACCTATCAGAAATGACAAATGCTGGAGGAAATGTGGAAAAATAGGTACATTGTTGATGGAGTTGTGAACTGGTCCAACTGTTCTGGAGAACAATTTGGAACTATGCCCAAACAAGTATAAATCTGTGCATATACTTTGACCAGGAATACCACTACTAGGTCTGTATCCCATAGAGATCAAAAGGAAAAGGACCCCTATTTGTACAAAAATATATATATAGCATATATAGTGGTGGAAAAGGCTTGAAAATTGGAGGGATGCCCATCAATTGAGGAATGGCTGAACAAGTTGTGGTATATAATTGTGATGGAATACTATTGTGCTATAAGAAATGATAAAGGGGTTGGCTTCAGAAAAACCTGGGAAGACTTATATGAGCAGATGCAAAGTGACATGAACAGAACCAGGAGCACATTGTACACAACAGCAATATTGTAACCATAATTAGCTGTAAAAGACTTAGCTATTCTGATCAATACAATGATCCATGACAATTCCAAAAGAATCATAATGAAAAAATGCTATCCACCTCCAGAGAGAAAATGGATGAATTCTGAGTACAGATTGAAGTATATTTTTCCCACTTTATTTTTCTTGATTTAAAAAAGCATAGCTAATGGGAAAATGTTCTATATGACTTCATATGTATAATGGGTATTATATTTCTTGCCTTTTCAGTGGGTGCGGGAAGGGGTAAAGGGATTGAGAGAATTTGGAACCAAAAAGAAAAAAAATGAAAAAAGACAAAAAAATAGAAGCTACAATCTGTTCTTCAACTATATAGTGGTTTTAAAAAATCAGCTCTATTGGTGGTCCCCCCCAGTTGCCTATGTGGATACCTGTGATTTAATTTTCTTTAGATCAGAGCATTTCCATTTTATTATTATATTAATACTATTTTATTGATGACGTACAGTATCCCAAGTGCTCTGGCAGCAAAGTGCTTTACAAATTTGAAAAATCTAAAAGGAAAAAAAAGGAAATGAAAGTTGTATAAAAACAAAATAAAAGATAGCAGTAAAAATTTTTCAAAAGAAAAAATTTTTACAAGTCAGTGGGGAACCATTATGTTGTCAGAGTAATAAGGTCATCTCAAAACCCCTTTGGTCCCAAAGAGTCTATGATATTCTTGGGAACCTTCAGTCATAGAAAGTTGTATTGTGCTCTGTTTTGGGCAAATAACGAATGAATAAATGAATAATAAAACATTTTTTAAGTTCTTACTGTCTGTCAAATAGTGTGTTAGGGATGCAAATTTGAATAAAGGAGACAGTCTCTGTTCTCAAAGAGTTTATTATATTCTAAAGGGAAAAAGATAACAGATAAAAGGCAGCTAGAAAAGAAGGGGTATAGATATGGCTAAGAGTTGGCATCATGACCTAGTTCTGGTTCTTGATAATGCTCATGTGTCCCTGTCAGTGCTTCCTACCAGAGACCCAACTGTAGAATTCAGGTGGTTCTAATGGGAGAGGGCTGAGAACTATGGCCAGAGTGGTGATGGCCAGCTGCTCATGGATTGTTTCCTCTTTTTTCAGCATGTGAAGATGGATACAGACTTGAAAATGAAACCTGCATGAGGTAGGCTCAATACTCTCCTTGAATTTTGTTAGATTTGTTTCTTCAGAACATTTCTTGGATTATGGTTGCCCAAGCTAGTCTTCCAAGGTCTAAACTAATTTCTCTTTGTTGACTTGTAGTTGCCCATTTGGTCTTGGTGGACTCAACTGTGGAAACCGTAAGTTCGTGAAACTCTTTATTTCCATTCTGGTGAGCTAGACATTGGTGGTTATTTTGGATGCTTGACCATAGCTAGTTACCACTGATCTAAGTAATTGCTTTGATTTTTTCAGTAAAGACATTTTTTACAACAGCCCATTTTCACCGATGTCTCATATTATGAGCTTGTAAGTTTACCCAATGAAAGCATTTAGTCAACTCTAGAGATACTCCACTTGTCATTGTGAAAACTCAGGATATTTTATGTCAAAGCAGCTGAGTCACTTGCTAGATACTGAGATTCCAATGTATACACAGAACCTCAGAGTTGGGAGTTTGCAGTATCCTTAAAAAATAATTAAATATTCATCCTCCATTTAAAGACCTCTAGTAACACAGAAATCATTGCCTCCCAAGACAACCAGTTCCATTGCTGGATAGCTCTAATATTTAGTATGCTCTTTCTTCATTTTGTATTATTCTTTCTTGTCAAAATCTATTTTCCTGAAACTCTCATAAGTATTAGTTCTGTTCTCTAGAGACAAGCAGAGAAAGTCAGTCAGCTCCTTTGTTTTACAAAGCTTAACTATACCAAACATTGGAGCTTTAATCCACATTAGCCATAATCATGGTATAAGAACGAGAACTCTGGAATGAGAGCCAAAAACTCTGGGTTTGTTTGTGGCTACACTATTAGCAAGGGGTGTGATGTTTGTGAAGTCACTTCAACTAACTCTATGCTACCATTTTTGTATCTGTAAAATAAGGGGTGATGGTGTTGTATTATATATTATCCAAGATCTCTTTAAAACTGAATATTCTGATTCTGATTCAATCTAGATTTCTGTGTATATAAGAGATCTCTTTCTGCCCACTGTAGGTTTTGGTCCTAATAATTTTATACCCTCAGGAAGTATTATCATTGTTTATTAAACTGGCTTATCCAAAAGGCTCATTATCATATTCACTAGTAACAAATAATAACTGAGATCAAATCGGAAATTAAACCCAGGACTCCAATGAATACCATATTTAATTGAGAATATCTTTTTATGTGATCATTTTTATTTTGTTCAGAGGTCTTAAGGACAGGCTTGGAACCCTAATCCAGATAATTAGCATTCATTTTTCTAAGAACATTTATGTGATCTGACATCAGATACTTCAATAGTATTGAAATGTGCTTCACCTGCCTGAATGATACTGGAAATAGCCTCCTCAAGTACTAGTGTGATTTGATCTATCCTTATTTATTTCTTAACATTCCATATTCCGTTATACAAAAATTTCCCACATTTAAAAAAGCCTTTCATTTTACTAATTATTGATATCCATTTATTTGGAGAGTGATTTTTAGCTGGTTTTGTTTCTCTTTGCATCAGTTCATGCAAATCCTTCCATGTTTGTCAGTATTCTTCATATTTATAATTTTCATGGCAGAATAATAGTCTATTAAATTCATGGACCACAGTTTGTTTAATGATTACCCAATCTATGAGCATTTACCTTGTTTCCAGTTTCTGTAACATTCCCTAAATTTTCAAAATTAATTCTTTATCTCCTTGGCTCATATTTCATCAGAGTTACATATTTATACATGTTCACACTTTTTAAAAGGATTTCAGCCTGTAGTTGTCATCAGGTGCTCTTCATTTCCTTCTAATTGAACATAACATGCAAACTCAACCATTTGGAAGATAGCCACAGAATCAGCAGTAGAAGGAAAGGGGGCCTCAGAGCATAAGTAAAACATCCATCAGCATGAATCTTGGAATCTTTCTCCAGCTAAAGCCATGCATGTAAAATTTCATGTAAATTAGAGTTAGTGGTTTAACAAGTTTGGTTCTTTAGTTTCCTCAGATAAACTTCATTCCTATCTAAATTACAGTGGGGAGTAAGTTAAAGTGTCAGGAAGTGAGGTAAAGGAGTGCTGCTAGAAACATATATGTACTTGGAAGTGACAGATGTCACCCAGGGTAGAAACAGCAGGATCAGTCATCAACTATAAAAGCACTGAAAGTATGGGGCCATTTAGTGAAGGGGCATATGGCCATGCATACTTAAGTAGGGCTCCAGTGATGCCTTAAAAGCATTATTATATTACTGCCAAATTTGGTAGGTAAAGTTCATAATGATGACTGAATTATGAAGAATAATTTTAAATGTTAATATATGTATATATGCATATAATTAATAGTTTTGTTTTAAAAACTGTATTGATATATTGTTTTCACACCACCTAAATTTCCTAGTTTTTCCCTTCTGTGTCCCCATTCCCCTCCACAAGAGAACTACTTCTTGTAATAAAGAATAAAAAAGAGGGAGAAAAACAATTAAGCAAAACTAATTAACATTGAAAGTACCTTTTGTATAGGTTTCCATGCCCATAATTACCCACCTTTGAAAAAAAATAAGAATGACATTTTCATATCTCTCCTTCATGGGGCAAGTTTAGTCATTATAAGTGTATAACATTATTTTTATTATTCTCTCCATTTACATTGTAGCTATTATACATGTTGGGCAGCTTGGTGGTACCATAGTGCACAGAGCACTGGGCCTGGAGCCAGGAAAACTCATCGTCCTGAATTCAAATCTGGCCTCTGACACTTACTAGCTGTGTGACGCTGAGCAAGTCACTTTACTCTATTTGCCTCAGTTTCCCCATCTGTCAAATGAACTGGAGAAGGAAATGGCAAATCACTCCTGTATCTTTGCCAAGAAAAGCCCGAATAGGCTCACAAAGAGTCTGGCACAACTGAAAATGACTAAACAACAAACAAGATTGTGTATAATGTTCTCCTGGTTCTGCTTACATCACTTTGCATAAGTTCCTTTATCTTCTCATGCTTCTCTGCATTCTTATGGGGCAGTCGTATTCCATTACATTCATGTACAACAATTTTTAGCTTCTGCCCCAATCTGTGAGTATTTCCTTTGTTTCCCCTTTTCTATTCCTACAAAAGCATGCACTTCAGAAACATGAGACTGTCTTCTTTGGAGATGAAAAGCAAGCCCTCATTATGTTTGAGTGGTCTACATTTTCCTTCTCATCATTGGATTATGTCATTGTCATCATCTCTCCCATAGAAGATGGAGGTTTACCTTGAATGCATAAATAGTGTAGGGTCACCCTAGGTAACCAGTTACTATTACAAAGTATATTTTTAAAGTGCCTAGCTGAGCCTTGTGCTCTGTGAGAGTTTAGAATATGATTCTGATGATTATTGAAATAATTTTCAGTTTTTCTAAGCACTCAATAGTGGCTGTGTCTTATTTATACTCTGATAAATCTTTAGACCTTTAGGAAAGCCTTTACTGGCTCCCCTTTTTAAGTTCATAAAGCAGATAACTTTTTAAAAACCCCTGAGATTCCAGCAAATAAGACATAATTGATTCTAACCTAGAGAACAGGATTGGGAACCAAGAATTCCAGTGTTCTCTTTCCTCTCTTTGGGAAACCTGATCTCCTTACTTAATCTTAAGCCAGGGACAACAAGGTTCTTTCAGGTCAACTTTTCTGCCAAGGTGGAAAATAAAAAAAGCACCAAGGAAGGAGAGATTTTCAAAAAGGGGCAGTTGGTCAATGATATTTATGAAATGTCGGGAAAAGTGAGTACTAACAGAAGACCACCAGACTTCACAAGAAGTCGCGGGTGGATTTGGAGAAAGCAATTTCAGTAGAGTGGTAGGGTAGAAACCGAATCATAAGGAAGTGGGCGTGGAGTGAGGAACTGGGAGCATTAACAATATACCTGAAGTTCAGAAATTTGGGCAGCAGAATAGGTTAGTGGGGGTGGGAAGGATGAAATAATAGAGAGGGAGGAAGGAAAAGAGCAAAGGAGGAAACAATAGCCGGGAGTTCTTAATCCGGGGTCCATGAACTTATAAAAATATTTTTATAACTATTTTAATGTAATTGGCTTCTTTTGTAACCATATGTATTCGATTTTGTGCATTTAAAAATATTACTCTGAGGAGTCCATAGGCTTCATCAGACTTCCTGGGGATCCATGACACACAAAAAGAGCTAAGAACCCCTGTGACTGCTAGAAGAAGTAGCAAGAAAATGCAAGCCAAGGGTTATGATTAAGGACGGGGGAGACTGTGCCTTTATGAAGCCAGAAGGGGAAGAAAGTATGGAGGAGAGATTAATGTGGCCAGAGAGGGAAAAGGTGGTAATATATGCTAACATTTATATAGTACTTTAAGGTGTAGAAAGCACTTTACATATATTATCTCATTTGATTTTCACCATATCACTGTGAAGTAGATGCATTTGTTATTCCTATTTTACAGATGAGGAAACTGAGGTTAGGATATGTGAAAGTGACTTGCCTAAGGTCACACAACTGGTAGGTGCCTGAGGCAGGATTTGAACTCAGGTCTTTCTAGCTCCCAAGTCCAGCCATGCCTGTACCCACTATGTCTTTCTAATTGTGGGAGCAAGATCAAGCTGGGGATATAAAGCATGGGTGAAGAAGGGAGGAGCCCAGGAGAGATAAAATAACTCTTTCTCCTGAGGCTAGAAAGGATGAGTTGTAGATAGAAATGTATTGAGATGAAAAAACTAGAACCTTGCCCACTGACCTTTACCTTCTGGGTGAACTAAAAAATAAGTTATCTGGTGAATGTGAGAATGGATGATGGAATTTTTTTTTTTTAATCAGAGATTTTGTCTGGTGTAAAACAGCAGCTCTCAAAGTATGGTCCAGGGACGAGTGGGGGGCTCCCCAAGACCCTTTCAAGGGGGTTGTGAGGTCAAGACTATTTTTATAATATTACTAAGCTATTATATTGCTAGCACATATATTTATAAATACATAAATGCATTATGTATAATATTAACATATACTTACATTATTACATGTTATATGTCATTTAATATAGTATGCTATAAGTATGTGTTATGTAATTATAATATGTTATTATATTACATGTAATAGATTATTACATTATACATAAATATTATATGTTATGCCCATATTAGTTTATAGATGTTATATAAATAGTATATATTAATATAATATAATACAATATGTAATTATATCATATTATTAGATTAGGTTCTATGATATATAATCTAACATATAATATATAATTAGATATTACTATAATATTTTTTATTATAACATATATTTATAACATTTATAAGTATATATAAATATACATGTGTGTATATATATATATATATATATATCAATAGATAGAACCCACATAAACAAAAGCTTTGGGGGGATCCTCAATAATTTTAAAAGTTTAAAGTTCCCAAGACCAAAAAATTTGAGAACAGATGGTATAAAAGAAGGGGCACTGGACTCATAAATATCAGGAGGTCTGGGTTCAAGTCCAGGTTAATTAGCAAAATCTTACTAATTATGTGACTGCCAGCAAGTCACCCCACCTCCAGGCCTCAGTTTCCTCATTCATAAAATGAGGATAATAATGTTCATGTTACCAGACTCAGGGGCTCTTATGACACTCCCATGAGATCATGTATGTGTCATTGATCTGGGGCTGAAGGGCATCTCCTGGGTCATCTTTTAAAAATGAGGAAAGAAGGAACAGGGACCAGACCTATGATTTCATTGATACAGGGAACTCCTGGATGAGGAATATCCCTCTACCAGTGCAGATAGGGACCTTCTCTTCCCCTTACAGCCTCAGAGAGTTTCCCAGAGCATTGATGGGAAAAGTATCTTGTCCAGGGTCACACAGTCAGAGCTGTGACTTGAACAAGGTCTTGCTTTGCACAAATGAAATCAATGCAACCAAGATTAGAAGAGAATCTGTTTTGGTTGGGTTTGGGGGGAAGGAGAGGCAAGGGGAGGGTATAGAAATTCTTTGCAACAAATTTCTCTGATAAAACTCTCATTGCTAAGTTATGTGAGGAATTATATAAGTTATATATCAGATTTGTAAGAATAAGAATCATTCCCCAGTTGACAGATAATCCAAAGAAAAGGACAAAGAGTTCTTGAGAGAAAAAAAGAATATATATATATATATATATATATAAGTACACATACATATACATCTATATACATGTGTATGTATATGTGTGTATATGTGCGTACATGTATATATGTATGTCCATGATAGGCCTTGAACCCATATATCCCTGATTCAGGAGCCTCCTACTGTACTACTACCCCATGCCGTCTCCTTTAGGGGGAAAACATACATTTTGTAACCTTTGTACTTTGTACTTTGTGCACTTATAAAGTCCTATTATTAGTATATTTATTGATTACATTGAATGTTTCCTGTATATTTAGCTTATCAGCTTATCACTGTGGTGATTGCAGCCGCTGGAGGTGGGCTCCTTCTCATCCTAGGAATTGCACTGATTGTTACCTGCTGCCGGTGAGTATCCTGAATGTAGGCTCTGAGTCCTTTGTTTTTGGATTATGATGATGATGATGATAGCTTAGGTAGAAGATGGCATAAGGTTGTTAGCCACTATTGTCTGTGATGATTTATTCAGTCAATCAATCAGTAAAATTTATTAAGTGCCTCCTATGTGCCAGGCACTGGGCTAAGTGCTGGGGATATAAAAAGAGGCAAAAGACGGTCGCTGCCCTTGAGGAGCTTACAATCTAAAGGAGGAGACAACATGTAAAAATATATATACAAAGCAAGCTATAGACAGGATAAATAGGAAATAATTAACAAAGGGAAGACATTGAGGAATTAAGAGGAGTTGGGGAAGACTTCCTGTAGAAAGCCAGATTTTAGTTGGGATTTAAAGGAAACCAAGGAAGTCAATAGTTGGAGTGGAGGAGGGAGAGCATTCCAAGCATGGGGGATAGCCAGAGAAATGCCTGGGGCAGAAAGATGATGGTCTTGTTCATGGGAGGGGGAGATCAGTGTCACCGGATTGAAGAGTAGGTGTAGGGGAGTAAGAGACCTGGAGGGAAAATCCTAGTTTGAGGTCTAGGGGGAAATCAAAGCAGGGAATATTAAGGATGTAAGAGAGTATGGACCAGCCAAGTGCTGAGAAGTCTCCTTCCCACCTAGTAGAATTTCTTGAGGGAATTGGTAAGCTCTCCACCAGCACTGCCAACCTGAGATCAGTCCCCCCATTTCTTGGAAGCCTGTCCAGTACTTTTAGCCACTTGTCACTTTTTGCTAAACTCCCTTTCTTATATCAGAGGTCACTTGGATGAGTGGAAAAGAGGGATCTGGACAAAGGTTTGTGGGGCAGTGACCTAGAGGGATAAACATGGGCTACTCAAGAGGAAAGTGAAATTTGTGTTTTAGAGAAATATCATCATCCTTGGAAAAAACTTGCAACCATCCCTTATTGAGAGGGAGGGTAGTTAATCATTATGAGACTCAGGTTGCCCCATCCCCAAGGGAACAGTGACAGAGTTCAGGCATGTGTTGGCCATTGGGTTTCATATCCCAGGGTTTAGTGCAGATTTCTTTCCAGGCCTTTACCAGAATGGAAAATTAGACAGGAATGAACTTCCACTCAAAGATAATTTAAACCCTCTAACCTTTGCTCTTGGTCCTCTTAAGTAGGTTGCATCATGACCATGCTTACCTATCTGTATGTTGGACTTTGGGTTTTATGACCCAGGGTCTAGCCCAGATTCCTTTCCAGGCCTTTCCCAGAATAGGAAAATGGACAAGAATGAGCTTCTGCTCAAAGATAAGTTAAACCCTCTAACCTTAGCTCTTAGATAGGCTGAATAATGACCATGCTTAACAACTATTCAGAAAGGAAGATTCCAGGAATGCCTTAGCAGAGAGCTGAGTTCTCCTGTTATCCTGAGTAAGAATAGCAGTCATTTTTCAGGTGAGCTAAATAAATATCCAGCTTTTATAGTTTTATGTGACATCAATTTTATAACTTGAAAGGTAAAATGAGAGGTTTAGACTAGATGATCATCTCTGAATTGCCTTCAGGTTTTTTATTCCACACCTCCCCCCAATCCCCAGCTATACTCAACAAACAGCCACCATCATTCCCCAGCCTACCTACACTCTTATCTTAACCTACCCCACCTGTAAAATGGAGATAATGCCTGTCTTGCATACCTCAAAGGGTTGTTCTGAGATAGAGACTGTCAATTAATATAGGGAATTCATGTATAAAGAAATGTCTTCTACCAATAAAAGTTAGAACCTTCTCTGCAATTATAGTCTTACAGGGAGTGTGGGGAGAGAAGAGGTACAAGTATTTATTAAGCTATGTACCAGGCAGTATGCTTAGTACTTCATAAATATTAACCCATTTGATCCTCATAACAACCCTGGGAGGTAAGTGCTATTATTAACCTCATTTTATAGTTGAGGAAACTGAGGCAGACTGAGGTTAAGTGACTTGCATAAGATCATACAGCTGGGAAGTATGTGAAGTTGGATCTGAACTCAGGTTTTCCCAACTCTAGGCTCAATGGTCTTTTTACTTTGCCTCATAGCTGCCTTGTTTAGAAGTCTGAGAAGTTAAGTGACTTGTCCAGGGTCATACATACAGAATCTGTCAGAGGCAGGATTTGAACTTGTCTTCCTGATTCCAAGGCTGGCTCTCTATCCACTATGTCAGGCTGCCTTTCTGTTCTGATATTCAATAGATACTTTATGTGAAAACACTTTGTAAACCATAGAGCACAACATACATGTAAGGCAGTATCATTGATGAAGCTGTGTGTCATAGTGGGCAGAGAATTGGCCTTGGGGTTCGAGAGATGTAGGTCTGAGCTATGCCTCTGATACACATTGGCAGTGCTGTTGGGAAATATCATTATATATATTTAAAATCTTAAATTAGTATCTTTGTACTTTCATTTTTGAAATTGGATCAACTAAGCAAATGTGCTCCTTCACTTGTGATTATTGGACCATTGTTAGAAAAAAAAAATGCCTCACTTCTCCAAAAACAGTATGGCAGCTTTCCACTCCATTTGTCCCACAAGTGGTATCTGGTACTTTCATCTCAAAACTCCTTAAAATGAAGTTATTTGACTTCATCAGAGTTATCTTTTTCCTTCTACAGAAAGAATAAAAATGACATAAGCAAACTCATCTTCAAAAGTGGTGATTTCCAAATGTCCCCATATGCCGAGTACCCCAAGAATCCTCGATCACAGGAATGGGGCCGAGAGGCCATTGAAATGCATGAAAATGGAAGTACTAAGAACCTCCTCCAGATGACCGATGTCTATTACTCTGTACGTATTCACAAGCTAGGAACAAACTCAGATCTGCTTGATTCAGGTTTAGAGTAGTTGGGTCTCTCCCACGTCACTACCCAAAGTGTTTCAGTTCTTTTGGAATATCTTTAGGCCATATAATATAAATTTATTATAATATGTTATAATATAAACATCACTGTTTAAGAAGAAGAGGGAGAGAATGGCACCATGGGACTCACATTTGCATGCTTTTCGAGTTAATTTGATTACGGTTTACTTGTATAATGTGGGCTGTGTTTAGAGACTGCAATGTGAGAGGTTCCTATATCCATCCAGCACATGCGTTTGCAAGATATGGCACTAGTCAAAATAATCTTCCCCCAAGAAGCCAGATTACAACTCCCTATGTCCCTCTGAAGACTGAGTGGGTTGGTTAGACATTTTTTGTTTCTGTAGTGGGATGATAAAACCATAGATATGGAGCTAGGAGGGACTTAAAGGCTATTGAGTCCAGTTTCCTCATTTGACATAATGAAACTGAGGCCTAGAAAGGTTAAAGTGCCTTGACCAGGGTCACACAGATAGTAAGTGACTGAGGAAGGATTGGAACCCAGGTCTACCTGACTCCCATTCCAGCGCTCTATCCGCAACTGATGTCTTTCTAACACACCATCCAAATGATGACTATTTCTATTGCTTGAGTCAGCCTCTATTTGTATAAATCTCTTATGAGATGTTAGCAAACACCTGTGTTATGTGACCATTCTGTGTTTGCTTCTCCAGCAAATTCCATCTCTGGGCTTAAATGAGGAGGTTTCAGAGAGTCAGTATGGTTTCATGGAAAGAACACTTGAAAGTAGGGAGAACTACGTTGTAGGCCTAGTTCTGTCTCTGCTAGCTGTGTGACTTCAAAGAGGTCCTGACAGGGGGCAGCTAGGTAGAGCAGTGGATAAAGTCTAGCCTTAGAGTCAGGAGGACCTGAGTTCAAATCTGGCCTCAGACGCTTGACACTCACTAGCTGTGTGACCCTGGGCAAGTCACTTAACCCTGATTGCCTCACCAAAAATCAGAAGAGAAAAAAAAGAGGTCCTGTCAAGTCTCTGAATTTCAGTCTGCTCTTCTGTTAAATTAGGGTTGGGGAATCAATTATTTCTATGAGCCTTTCCAACTCTGACTGTACGATATGAATAATAACATGGAGCTATTTAACAGGTAGCAATTCCATCATCCTATCCAGGCCCTCCATATTTTACAGATTTGTTCTCATGCTCCAGGTGGTGGGTAGTATAGTTTCCCTTTTATAAAAGAAATTGAAATTTCCCAGGGTACAGAAAGATTATCTCATCATCTTTGACATCATCACAATAAACATTACTCAGAGCAGTGTTAGAAACCCATGGTCTCAGAGGAGCATAGACTTGGAGATGAGACACTAGAAATCATCTAGCCAATTAATCAACAAACATTTATTAAGCATCGAGTGTGTATGAGGGTCAAGCATGTATTAAGCATCCAATGTATACAAGGGTCTGGGGCTACAAGGAAAATAGTGAAATGCACTCCGCCCTCAAGGAGTTTACAGTTTGTAGGAGGGAACTTTGTGTGTGTGTGTGTGTACATGTGCATGTGTGTGTGTGCCTACAAATATACTCACATATCCTTATCTTGAAAAACCCTCGTTATCCCCATTATCATCCTATTTCTTTTCTGCCCTTTTTAGTTAATCTTCTCAAAAAGACTGTCTACAATAGGAGCCTCCGCTTTGTCTCCTCTCACTTTTTTTAACCCCTTACAGTCTGGCTTCTGACCTTATCATTCCACTGACACCGCTCTCTCTGAAGTTGCTGATGACCACTCAGTTACCAAATGCAGTGGCTTCTTCTCAGTCCTCTTTCATCTTGGCCTCTCTACAGCCTATGACAATGTTGATCACTCTGTCCACTCGATACTCTCTTTTCTCAAGGATTTTGGGACACCACTCTTTCCTGATTCTTCTTCTACCTATCTGACCACTCCTTCTCTGTCTCCTTTGCTGGATCCTCTCCCAGATCATGTCCTTTAACTGTAGGTGTCCCTCAGGGCTCTGTCCTGGATCCTCTGCTCTTCTCCCTCTATACTATACTTCATTTGGTGATCTCATCAGCTACCATGGATTTAATTATCATCTTTATTCTGATGATTCTCAAATCTATCTTTCCTGCTTTAATTTCTCTGCTGACCTCCAACTTCCTTTCAGATATCCTGAACTAGATATCTAGCAGACATCTTAAACCCAATATGTCCAAAACACGGCTCATTATCTTTCCCCCTAAACCCTACCCCACCCCTGCCTCCTACCTTCCCTATTACTGTGGAGGACAAGACCATCTTCCCAGTGCCTCGGGCTCACAACTTAAGAATCACCCTGGATTCCTCACCATCTCTCAGCCCCCCTATCCAATCTGTTGATAACACCTGTGATTTCACTTTTTGCAACATCTCTCCAATACATCCCCTTCTCTCCTCTGACACTGCTACCACTCTGGGGCAAAACCCTCATCACCTCACACCTGGACTACTGCAATAGGCTGCTGGGGGGTCTGCCTGCTTCAAGTCTCTCCCCACTCCAATCCATCCTCCATTCAGCCACTAAAGTGATTTTCCTAAAATGCAGGTCTGATTGTCGTATATAATGTAATAAATGTAATAAACTCCAGTGGCTTCCTATTACTTCCAAGATCAAATACAAAATGCTCTATTTGACATTCAGAGCCCTTCATCACCTAGCTCTCTCCTACCTTTGCAATCTTCTTACACTTTAAAATCCCTGACAGGGGGCGGCTAGGTGGCACAGTGGATAGAGCACCAGCCCTGGAGTCAGGAGGACCTAAGTTCAAATCTGACCTCAGACACTTGACACTTACTAGCTGTGTGACCCTGGGCAAGTCACTTAACCCCATTGTCTAGCCCCCCAAAAAAGTCCCTGACATATACTCTTTGATCCAGTGACAATGGTTTCCTGGCTGTTTTACTAACAAGACACTGTCTCTTGGCTTTCAGCATTTTCTCTGGCTGTTTCCTATGCCTGGAATGCTTTCCCTTCTTCTCTTCAACTACTGACCTCCTTGGCTTCCTTTAAGCCCCAACTAAAATCCCACTTTTTACAGGAAGCCTTCCCTAACTCTTCTTAATTCCAGTGCTTTCCCTCTTCTAATTATTTCTTATTTATCCTATATACAGCTTGCTTTGCATGCATTTGTTTGCATGTTGACTCTCCCATTATATTGTGAACTTCTTGAGGGCAGGAACTGTCTTTTGCTTCTTTTTGTAGCCCCATCCCGTAGCACAGTGACTGGCACATAGTAGGCACTTAATAAATGTTTATGGAATTGAATAATGAAAGGAATGAGGAAGGACAACATTTATCTATCTGTCTGTCTGTCTGTCTATCTATCTATTTTTGCTTTTGAAGGCAACCAGGGTTAAGTGACTTGTGCAGGGTCACATAGCTAGTGTCTGAGGTCAGATTTGAATGCAGGTCCTATCATAAGCATTTATTAAGCTCCTACTATGTGTTAGACACTATACTAAGTGCTTTACAAACATTATCTTATTTGATACTCAAAATAACCCTGGGGGTAGGTACTATTATTATCCCCATTTTATAGTTGAGGAAACTGAGGCAACCATTTGAAGTGATTTTCCCAGCTAGTAAGTGTCTGAAACTGGATTTGAACTCAGGTCTTCCTGATTCCAGACCCAGTGCTCTATCCATTGTACTACCTAGCATCCACAGATAAATGATAATGATGATGGTCACTTACTCCTGGGGAAGTAGTACAGAGAGAAGATTCATATGGAAGGTGGCATTTGAACCTTGTTGTGAAGGGTTTCAAAGAGTTGGAGGTGAGCAGAGAATGTAGTTCAGTCATGGGCAGAGCCACTGCAAAAGCATTGAGATGGAGTGATGTCATGTGTGAGGAATAAATGGCAAAAAGGCCAGTTTGACTGGATGGGAAATACAAGAAGGAAAATATTACATCATAAAGCAGGAATGACAGGTTGGGGCCAGGTTACAAAGGCCTTTAAGTCCCAGAAGAATTTGAGTTTGATCCTTGAGTCAATAGATAACCATTAGAGTTTATTATTGAACAGGGAAGTGATGTGATAAGGCCTACATTTCTGGAAATGTAGATCAGTGTGAAAGGTCATTTGGAGCAGGGAGAGGTTTGAGGCAGGGAAATTAACTAGGAGGCTGTTGTAGTAGTTCAGGTTGAGGGGTGGAGAGGGCCTAAACTATGACAGTGGTAACGTGGGAGGAGAGAAGGGGAGAGTCAAAAAAAGATACTATTGTCCAGCCCCTTTCTTTTGACATTTGAGGAAACCAAGGCTGAGGGGATTGCCAAAAGGTACACTGATAATAAGAGAAAGAGCTAGAATTCACACCCAGGTCCTCTGACCTCCAAATGTGGTCTTCTTTTCACTGTACCATTTGATATGAAGGGAAAACGCTTCAGTAGAGTGACACGTCCATCCCCCTCTTTCTGGACAAGATGGTGTGAAAACTGTCCTAAAAAGATACCAAAGCTCTATTCCACTTGTGACTTCCCTTCCTGCTAGTGCATGCTATCCAAAGGTCATTTTGCATTGTACTATATGAAACAGGAAATAAATACACAGTCAGAGAGCACCAGAGCTGAAAATTGAATTCTATGCATGGCATAGGACTCTCAACTAGAGGTGCAAGATAATAGTAATGAAACCTTGCCCCTCCAGGCTCTTAATAGTACCATTCTTATTCCAAAGGTCATAATCCTTTATTTGCTATGAAAACAATTATGAGGACTCAGACTTTGGATGGGAGGGACTACTTTTCCCGGAGCTAGAGAACTGTTTGTTTTGATGAATTATTTTTAAAAGTCACAACTTAGCTGAGAGTGGGGCAGGGAGTTTGGGGGGGAAAAACAAATAGGGAGAAGTGGGATACAATGGTAGAATTATTTCTAGATTCCAAATTTCCTTCAAAATTTTTCAAATAAATATTTTATTGACACTTAAAAAAGCATTATTATCACTTCCCAATAAGAAGAATATAGAAATAGGTCTTCTCAAGATAGATTGATATATATATATATATATATATACATTTGTATTGATATTTTTATATGTTTATCTACATATATATATTTACGTAGAAATATCTCTAGATATCTAGAGATAATAGATATATCCATGTGTATCTATTGATTAGATAGATGGATGGATGAGATAGATATGATGAGAGAGAGAAATAGTCAAAAAGATAGATAGATAGACATAACCTGATTCTGGAGGGGAGGTTACTCCTCAGAGGCATCTGGAAAGTGGCTCTTTTTTTTTTTAAATTAGGCAGTTAGAGTTAAGTGACTTGCCCAGGGTCACACAGCTAGTAAGTGTCAAGTGTTTGGTCTGAGGCAGGATTTGAACTCAGGTCCTCCTGACTTCAGGGCTGGTGCTCTATCCACTGTGCCACCTAGCTGCCCCTAGAAAGTGGCTCTTGAACCTTCTCTGAAGCAAACTAGAGATTCTAAGAGGTGGTGGTTAGGAGGGAGTTAATATTTAAGACACAGAACCATCACTTTTTAACAAAGAAATACAATTATGGAAGATAATCTAATACATTGTCCAGATCTAACAGGATATGACTCATTCCTCACCTGCAATCTACCTGTCCTTGATTGAAACAATGGCAATATGTTTCATCACTAGTCCTCTGAAGTCCCCATTGGTCATAGCATTGACCAGAGTTCTGATATCTTTTAGTGTGATTTTCTTGTACATTATTGTGCTCATTGTGTAAATTGTTAGGTTCCAAATTACCTGATGAGTTTCTTTACATATGATGTTTCCCAGCTTCATCAGAGGGCTTAACTCTTCTCTCAAAAACAAATGATTTTACAATCCAAGAACCCACTTCATTAAAAAAAGATTTTCTTTCAACTAAACTTCTCTTCCTCCTTCTCCTCACCTTCTCCTAATAGTAATAATAAGCATTTTTATAGCACTAACTTTTTTGCAAAGCACTGTCTTTACAAAAGTTATCTCATTGAAGAAAACTTAGCTTTCCTTTGGTTTTACTTGTGTGTCTGCATGCACCTCTCTCTCTCTCCCTCTCTCTCTCTCTCTCCCCCCACCCCCGTGACTCTTTAGCTGTGACTTACCTCAGGAGTGTTCAAAAGGCTTGACCATCCTTGTCAGACAAAGTTAGAACTCATTCATCTGCATGTTACCATGGATTAGATTTAGAGTTACTATAAACAGATTATAAGCATTAACAGTCAAAAATGTAAATGAACCCAAGTTTTCAGTCCTCTGCAATCATCTTAGCAATGAATAGAGCACAGTCAGTAACAGTCAGTCACTAACACATTAAGCACCTTCTCTGTGCCAGGCACTGTGCTAAGTGCTGAGGATACAAAGAAAGGTGAAAGTCCCTGCCCTCAAAGAGCTTACAGCCTAAAGAGGGAGACCATGTGCAAATACCAATGTACAAACAAGCTATATGCTAGAGCTATATACAATGTGGCAGTGACATCCAGTCCCCACATACACGAAGTGCTTTGAAAGCCAAGATGTCTCACGTTTGAATAGTACTAATTCCTAGTTCTCCTAGCATGGCATGGGCCTTCAATGTGTGGAGCAGTTGTATGGGTGATGCAATTGCTTATGGTAATACTCATGTTAATAATAGGATGATGTCTACATTTTTTGGCTTCTAGCACGAATTAGTTATTTACATTGAATATTCCTTATTGTTGTCTCCTCAGATACAGAACCAGTTTCCTAACTCATTCTGGGGAGATAATTTGCAGGGGCCAAAAAAAAGGTGGGGGAGAGGGAGCAGAGGTGATGAGTAGATGTTGTCTGTATGATCTTTGATCTCACCCAAAAAGGATGGTGAAAGAAAGACTGATAATCACTAGTCCATTAAAAAAGAAATACCAGTCTCCCTCTTGCCTTTTGGTGCTATCTGTACCACTTAGTAATTGTGTACACTTCATTTATTTGTGCCTCAGTTTCCCCTTCTGGAGAATGGAAAAAATACTTGAATCCTAAATGCCAAAAAGAGGGTAGCATGCATTATAGTCCCCCAGTAGAAAAGAGCGCTGTGAATTTAAGGCATTCCTGTATAAAGAAAGGCAGCATGACAGAATGGATAGAGAGCTAGCTAGGAAGATGTGAGTTCAAATCTCACCTCCAATGCATTCTGGCTGTGTGACCCTGGGCAACTCTGTAAGACTTCAAGTTGTGGAGACAGGGCTGTCTTATATGTTGGTAGAAAGAGTTTCCTCACTTGAGAGCTCCTTATAGCAATGAAATCCTGGATCCAGCCCCTAACCTAAATGTGGTGCCATTGTCACAACTTCTGTCTACACCAGTGCTTTTCCTCAAGGTACTTTGCCAACATTAGTCGTGTTTAAGGATGCTAATGTTATTGTCGCCTCAATATTATCAGGAGAGCTGCATGGTGTACCAGGAGAACAGTGCGGTATAGTGGGAAAGCTCTGCATTTGGAGTCAGAAGACCTGGATTTGAGTCCTACCTCTACCACTAACTAGCCATGGGACCTTGGGCAAGTCTCTTAAACCCTGTGAGCCTCAGTTTCCTCATCACTAAACTGGCTAGAATGCTATCTGCACTAACTAAATCACAGGATTATCATGAAGGTCATTTGAGATAAATGCATACATATATACGTATATATGAAAGCACTTTTTAACTTGTAAAGTGATGCATCAACGTAAGGCATAGCTCTATTTTTAAAATGGAAGAGCTGAGACATGGAGAGAGTAGACATCTTGTCAGAGATGTTGACTTTGGGGAGATAGTAGTGGCAGATCTAGGAAAAATCCCCACTTCTAGCCCCCTACCCTGCACGTTGCTACCTTGTCTCCCCATTGAATTTCATAAAGTGCAAAATGAAGTGTTTGGAATAATTTGATTATTGAATTTAAATTCAAGAATAAGAAATTGATTCCTCACTCTCTCTTTTTTTCCTTTCAATTCCCCCCCCGCTTTTTTTTGGTGACCTAGCCCACAAATGTCAGGAACCCAGAACTTGAACGAAATGGCCTCTACCCTACCTACACTGGCTTGCCAGGATCTCGGCATTCTTGTATCTTTCCTGGACAATATAACCCTTCTTTCATCAGTGATGAGAGCAGGAGAAGAGACTACTTTTAACACCACAGGACAGTGCGTAGCCACTGTCATTCTGTGTTATTTACACATGAATTCTATCTACTCAAGGAATGGAACCAGGAAGACCCCCGGAACACTTGCTGTTTCACAGACCATTCAAAGCTGAAGTTTCCATGGCAGACAAGGGATGGGACAGAAGATTTAAAGATGGCAAAGACTGAAAAGAATTGCTCAGTTACAGGCTGCTTATTCTTTACTCTTCAGTGTTCATATGTGTTACTGTGAAATGTGATAAATGGTCAGTAAGAACAGATTTGCTTTGAGTGACATGTCATGGATGCTACCACTAGGAATGAGTGTAAATGGTTCAGTGCCATTTCAGAAACCCAGCTGCTGGTCAGTTAACAGTGATTTGGGTTTGTTTGTTTGTTTGTTTCTTTTTTATACACTTTACCAAGCTCAACTTGAGACTGCTCCAGAACAGAATCCTGGCTACTTTGGACAGTTCCATTGGATGTTGTCATTGGATGGTCACTTGCAGCAAAGTATTGGCTGTTTTGAACTTGTTTATCTCCATAATTACAGTCTTCCTCAGTGCCTACGTGCTGAACAATGAGTGTGTACTGCACACTCAATGAGTGTCCTAAGGCACTAGAGAAATTTTGTTGTAATGTATAGTCTTCTAATACGCTTCTAGATCTTACTCTGTAGTTTCGAGCCAAACAGAAAATGAGCTGTGAGCCCAGGATGTACTACATCACAGAAGGTGACAGGAAGTAAGGTTGTAAAGTGCCACAAACTGTTAGGTGAAACATTAGAATTCTTTCCCAGTACGTTTTTTATCATGACAACGTCCCTTTTCAAAAAATTATTCCCTTTTTATTGAGTTTAAGAATTTCTTTCAACAAACTGGGATCAAAGCAATATCTTGCAGAGATAATATTAGCCATAATGGCTTATAGAACCAGCTTTGAAGTCAAAGTATCAATTCATCTGCCCTTCATCTACAGTTGGGGCCAATGGATATAATTTGGAGCTGACAGTAACATGGCTCCTTGGAAGAGGAGCACATGGACCTAGAAGCCTGTGGTAACCATCTCCTGCCTGCTCCCAGTCTGTGAGAATGGAATGGTGCAAAACCATCCATTTTGTGCCCACTGGCTTTGCCCTAGGCTCATGTTCATGACAGAGATTGCCTCTGCTGAATCAAGCTCTTGCTTATGGGTTATAAGGAATTTTTAAAGGTGGGAGTATATGTGTGTGTGTGTGTGTGTGTGTGTGTGTGTGTGTAACATTTGGATTTGAACTGGGTATTTCATTGCTTCGGGGAAAGAAGCTGGAAACAACTCTCTCCTGTGATTGGATATTGACATTTGCTGGAGAAATTAACTGAATAAGTAACCTGGTTTCACTGAAATGACCATGCCATTGGAAGCCATACCAGCTCTTCATAAAAAAATAAGGTGGTGCCATATGTAAGTTCTCCTTACATGTCTGTCTGACTGCATCAGTAACCTTGTCCATAGAGCTCAGTGTTAGAGAGTTGATTGTTGAAAGCTGTTTCTTCTTTGAAGAAGTAACATGTAAATTATTTTCTCTTGTCCATCAGTCTGCCCTTTTTTGTACTACTATGTAGTTCCCTTGAAACTCAGAAAAATTTCAGGAATGTTATCAGACAGCTAAGGATTTCTGGACAAGTAAAAGATTTCAATGTCTGCCTTTTGGAAAGGAATGTCCTAAATATCTATTTATTATGCCCATGATTTAGGGCTTGCATTGGTCACCTGAGCAGCACTCAGTGTCTGGAACTAATACCTGTGAAACTGTGTTGAGTCTACTTCCCAAATAACACCCTGGTGTCCAGATAAGGTGAAGAAAGAACAGATTGGAAAACTGTTGCCAACACAGAAGGTTGAGTCTTATTGACAACATACTTTTCTGGAAATGGCTTAAACACTTTGGGAGCAGTTATTTCTGTTTAGTGGAGGGATGGTTACTTCCAGATTATCACAGCTCTTCAAAATGCAATAAAGTAGGACAAGCTACTTAAGACACTTTCATTGAAGCATGACATTATTCTAATAGCACTGTTTGGATGAATGCATGTGTTTTTCCATTGGTCCCCAGAGGTTCTGTCACATAATTACAGTTCTGCTATTGCAGAGAATGCTAGTTGGGTGCAATGTACCTTAGTAGTTAAAACAAATTGGCCCTCACCTTATAGGATGAATTCAGGTATTACTGATGAATGCTATGTTTTTTTTTTAAAAAGCATTAAAAACTTCCTTCTGAATCATAGGTAAGACCTTCCACAGTTTTTTCAGAATCTAGTAATGCTTTCTGTCTCGCCATCTCCCATCCTGCTGACCAGCTTAGAGTTATTACTACCTATCCTTTGTGTTGCTCTACTCCAGCCTGAGGCCTATTATCTCTATGATGGGAATGAGCAAGAAAAGCCAGGTAGGCTGTACAGAAGTGGTGGGGAGACTCCACTAGGGCCTATATGATTACAACAACAGCAGGCTGCTTCTGGGCAACCTGGTGATCCTCATGGCCTCTGACAAATGGAGCAAACCATCACCTCCTGGGGCAGGGGAATTCTACCAAATGATGACCTTGTCTCATCTCAGAATTTTTTTTTTTTTTTGGCTAGGCAATGGGATTAAGTAACTTGCCCAGGGTCACACAGCTAGTAAGTGTTATGTGTCTGAGGCTTAGATTTGAACTCAGGTCCTCCTGAATCCAGGGCCAGTGCTCTATTCACTGCGCCACCTAGCTGTCCCCTCAGAATCATTCTTGAGAAGGATCTGGGAATCTGTTTGAGCTTAAGTCTAAAAGAGAGAACCATGTGACATCAAAGGCTTTTTCTGCACTGGCAAGACTTTATAGAGGAAGATGTTTCATGTGAAAATGAGAGATTTCAGAAAGTGTGCTTAGCATAGTATCTCCATACATCTCCAAGTGATCTAAGGAAACAAGTGGGTCTAAGGAAATGTATTCCAATTGTTAATTGTATGGAGGAAAGTGTGTTTGTGAACTGTGGAGCTCAGTTCTCCAGTTTGAGCATAGGAGTGTAGCTTTAGAACCAAAAGGGACCTTAGAAGAGGCCATTTAATCCACTTTCCTCATTTTACAGAGATGGAAACTGAGGTACAAAAGAGATTAAGTGACTTATCCAAGGGCACATAGGTATTAAGTGAGAAGGGAGGAAAGAACATCTGCTAAGCTCTGTAGTCATGGAGGTAACAATTCAAATATCAATTATATGCCTACTGTGTGCAAAACACTGGAGGCGGAAAATGGGGGCAGCCTGGTCCTCCTGCTTTTTACTGACTTGGATCATGCAAGCGTGGGTAATAATAGTTTACATTCTTGCAACGTTGTTTCCCAAACAAGAGTGAGGCTGTATCAGGAAGAACAGTCATAGAATGCATGTAGTTACTCTCCCTCCACTGCCCAGATTGCCCTCAGCATCACTTCCCTAGTCCGGAATTTGTTGGGGGAAAGGGGAAGGGAATGAGAGGAGGAAGTTATCAACAGACACAAAAGGGGACAAAAGAGATCCTAATATATGCATATGATTCATCTGTAAGGCAAGACCTGGATTAAGTGGGATCATAAGTCTTTAGGGTAAAACTGATCAAAAAATCAGCAAAGTATTTGTCTGGCAAAGAGGCCTCCCTTCTTTCTGTGACCCCTGGGCCTGCCTGGGAATGATGTCCTTCATGCCGTCTGATTTTCAAGGGCCCTATTCATTGTTTACTCAGAAGATATGAGACCAAGGCAGCTGAATACGTTCCTTGGCAGAATGCCTCCCTTCTTGGTTTCGTTTTCAAAGAGCACAATTACGGCATTCAAGTTAAAGGAAGTTGTTACCAAGAAATTAATAGGAGCGATCTTGAAATACTTTTAATAACTGCAATATGTTATTGGCATCCTATCCAGCAATAACCAAATGATTATTTTTAGGAATAAAAAAGTTAAGAAATAGTCACATTCCATAAGGTATTTTAAAATTTGAGGGGTTTTTCTTCTTGTTTTCTGTCATTTGAGGCTATTATGAAAACAGAAACCTAAGTCATGCCTACCCAGTGAACATATTGGCACATAGCTTTATTTGTCAGTGTTACGCTGTTTTGTTTTTTAACAAATAAACTTCTACAGTCAAATGAGTGGAATCCCCTTGAAAGTAGTCACCTTGAGTGGGTGTATACTTATTCTGCTGTTATTGCCAGGAACTCCTTTCTGAATTGTCTTTGGAGCTTACGGCACATTCTTTTGACTGGTCCCAGTGGTGGCAAATACTCATCCTTCAAGGGTGAGTTTAACTTTGGGAAACAACCAAATTCTTGTGAATTGTAGTCTGGTGAATAAAATGGGTGCTCAAACTGGGTAGTGCCAACATCAGTGAAAAAGTATAGTGTGACTATGAAGTAATAAAATTGGTTTTCTGGGGTGACTCATGAGCTGACTCTGAAAATAGTCCCCAAATATGTTCAATATGAGTTTGAACAATGGTAATAGCATTAGAATAAATGTACACTCTCAAAGTGACTACTTTGAAGGGGACACAACTTATTTGGGCATAGAACTATGGCCATCTTAATAATAAAGATCAGCCTGATTTTTTATAGTCATAACCTTGCATTATACAACTTTGGCATTTCCTGTGTGTGACTGTGCCCACTGGTAAGATATACACATGGACTCTGGAACCTTGGCTCAGCTAAACCAGGAGAAGTCAACATTACACAGTTCAGGTGCTCTTGGTTTATCTTAGCCCAACATAGCCACTCAGCAACAGGATCACTAGCTCATTATTGAAATTATTAAAAATTAAATTATTAAAATGACACCTAAAATTTTGGTGAGAATAGCTCAATGTAGCACTCAGACTGCAAAATGGAAGCCAGATTCCAATCATTCAAGCAATACTTCCTCTTTGTTGAGCTTATGTGCTAGGGCTAGGTCTTACTAGGGGGCAGATCAGTACACTTCAGATTTCCAGGAAGACAGTGGATTCTCTGAGCTGCCCTCTCAATATGTCCTATCCCTTCCCAAATATGCAGGACCTTGGACACCTGAGGACCACCTGATTCAGCCATTGGTCTAATATTTAGCTTTTTATATCAACTGTTCACAGCACAATCCTTCCTTGTGTGATGGGTGCATATGTGTATGTGTATGTGTGTTGATTTTGAGATTTGAGCTCTTAGGAATGTGAATTTCAATGCCAAATGCTTCTTTTATTTGCTCTATAAAGATAGCTCCCTTCCTTTCCCATTCTACAACAGTTTTCAGAAGGAAAAAGGA